GTATCCTTGAGATCCACCCTGAGCTTGTTGTTGCCTTGCTTTGCCTTGACTGGTCTTGTGACCCCTAGGTCTCCCCCACTTTGCCTATGGGGGTGTGTCAAACATTATATATGTTGCGTTTGTTAGGCTACAGTGGGTTAGCCTATATGGGGTACACAATTCTAGGGTTTGCTATTTGTACTGATTTCTCTGTTAGTTCAATCATTCCAGTCCGTTCATTCCGACAAGTGGAACGAGATCAATCAGCTTGTTCGAATCGCCGCTGCAGTCGGGAATGTCGAAATAAAGAATATGCACCCCGTTTTCAGAGTGTGCTCATCCGATCTGCCTGTGTGATGTTGTCGGCGATGAGTAGTGCAGCAGGATGTCGCACGTGTCGCGATCCGCGCTGAGTTCGACGCTGCAATCCATGGGTTGAGCGGTGGAAAGCAAGTTGAAGCGCAGGTTCTAGACAATGAGCACATCATTAAGTGTGATGTGCGTGCGGCTTCCCCGTAACTTGAGCACGACGATGCCTTGCGCGCTTGCGCGCAGGCGCGTATTGTTGGCCACAGTGACATAGGGTGACCGTTGGGGTTGCGACAACGTTAGAGAAAAAACGCTCGGACCCCACCATCTGCTGACCGCAGCAGCTGTCCAGGTACCTGGTGTTGTAGCGCTTGTTGTCGTCACGTGCGAGCAGCGCCAATCGCGGCGTGACGATGTACAGTGTGTCAATTTTCAGAAATTGCTTGCGCGAGATCCAATCGATCGGTGTCGCCCGCGTATCAGGTACGTGCGGGGGACTTTCAAGCAGCGGGACTGGGAGATTCCAGTCCTGGTCGTCGTCGTCGGTGAAGTCGTGGCGTGTGCTGAACAGATTGTTGTCCTTGAACGCTCCAATTGGATGTTTTGCTGGCTCTGGAGACGGCGAGCACACGTGGCGACGGCGGGATCCGCCTGTCATGGCCATATTTCCCATAACATTGCGGGCTGGAGCAGGCGGTGACGGCTTGTGCTGCTGATGCTGAACCGCCGGGTTCAGATTGCGCGATGGGGGTTGGTACCCTTGGGCTAGAAGTATGTCGTTTTGTGCGTCTTGTCGGCCGGACCAGGTGCTCGGATTGGTCTGGCGAGGGCGAGATCGGGACTTGCATCGATCTGCCAAATGCCCAAAAATTATGCAGATTTTGCAGTAAAGCCGCCGCGGCTGTCGCTCTTCCGTATTCACCGCATAGAAGGCGAGGCGTTCTCGATCCCGCTGTGGCGCTGGTCGCTGCTGATCCATGTCTCTCTGTTCGACGAGAAGGGCGGCGCATAGGGCGGCTTCCGAGATAACCCCCTGCTGTCGGAAAAGCGCCTTACAGGGCCGCCACTCTGGGCCGAGCCCTTGGAGCACGATGTTCACAAAAATCTTCTCCAAAATCGTGCTCCCCAGTTTCGCGATTTGATCCGTAAGCTCCGACAGCGATTGATGTAGCTGTTGGCCTTCTCCCCAGGGGCTATTTTTGTCTCCAGTAGCTGCTGGAGCAGGCGGCTCGAAGAAACCGAATCTTTCGGTTGGTATACGCCGTTCATGTGTCGCCAGACATCAAGGGCTAGAGCAGACGATGTCTTGTACGAGCAAATGCTCAGTTGCTCCGCCGCCGACATATTTCGCAGCAGGACGCCGTACGTCATCAACGACTCGTTGTAGTGCTGCGCCTTGGCGTCGACGGTATCTTCAGCAGGTCCTGAGTAGCTCCCGTCGAAGTAATGGAATATCTGCGCGTTCTGCAGCAGAAGTCTCTGTCGTTCAAACATACACTTGTCTTTATTTTTTGATATGCTGAGAAATTTAGATTGAGTGGAGAGAATCGCTTCTTCGCTGGGATGGGGAGTCTTGGGAGTTCAGCCCTTGGAGTCGAGGGAGAAAGTGTGCGGGACGATGTTCTGGCCATTCGAGGCCGGTTGAGAGGGTTGGGAAGATGTTCCCGCGTCGCCATTCCGCAATGTTTGGAGTCCTTGCTCCAAGCTGGTGAGTCGCTGAAGCAGTTTTGCCAGGACGACAGTTCGAATCGTCATCGTTTCCTCGTTTGTCACAGCCAGGCTGGACTGCGCTTCAGCGGTCAGATTCGTATGACCACCAGATCCTCCGGCCATCCTTACACGCGATCGTGTGCCGGACGCCACCTTTGGTTCGCCGAATGTTTCGGAGGTGGCAGTGCGAAGGATTCCCGAGTCGCTCTCATACCATGTTACGATCAGAAGTTGATCGACCCTATGATCATCTTGAGAAGGTTCGCACACAGTCGATTGGTAGTGGTGGGCCCTTGACCTCAAAACAGAGTGAATGTAAAATGTTTGAGATGATTAAAACATGCAAATACAAGCATATAAATAGTAGTGCAGAGGAATACGAAACGACCTAGCTAGCCATGTACTCTAAGAGGTACATTCCCTTATTCAAATTCAAACTCAATCGTGCGACTCGAACAGTTACGAAACTGTTCCCGCCAATTCCCTTGCTCCTGCAGCTGCCTGATGCCGTCTGCTCCGACGGTCCGGATGCTCTGTAACCGTACGCGACTCGTAGTGTCATTCTGCCTTTTCGCATTCAACCTCAATACTGAGTGCTTCACTTGCTGCGTTTGGGAGTGTACAATCTAATTCCACTATTCGTAACATAGACCTCTTCGGTCATCGTTGCACATTTGTTTAGTAGCATTTCGCCAACCAATCACCGTGTCTTACTGTGAGTGTGCCTGGACAAATACCTATGTATCCACACCAGTACTGTTTTATGCTGTTGTAAGTGACAGTCTTTCTAGACGTGGTAATGAGTAAGGGCATATCGCGTTGAATCTCCATGTTCTCATGAATCGTGATTCTTGAATCTGCTACCGACTTGACTGAGGCCTATTGGCGGATACATTGAACAGACGGGAAGGCTTGAACGTACCCGCACCGAACCTCTGGGTTCGGAGTCTGGCGAGCCAAATGTAAGGGCGTGTAAGATCCATGCGCATCTCGTTTCGGCTGCTTTTCTGTGGACAAGAACACTTCGCAAACATTTGTGTAGTATCTACGGATTGGTCAACGGAAATCCAGCTTGAAAGCGAGAACGTTAACAACCACCGATTAACAAGTTCACGAGCTTCGTCAGCAGGTTACTTTTGAGAGAAATAGGCTTGTCGGAACCTGGTCGAAACTTGTGCATGCGGGTCTTACACGCCCTCGCTCGGCTTTCAAACTAGTCGGTGTGGTTCGGCAACTGAGCCCACGGCAAATCTTTCAAGTGTGAATCTGTTTTCGTGGCATTCAGCGAGTGGATATATTCATATCTGCTGACTGTACGAGGAAAGGGGTGGATGCCACGCTGGCTTGACCGAGGATTATCGAAGGAAACCGCTGTCGAAGGCTTTCTTCCCGCCGTCGTCCGAGGGAGGGAAAAATCAAGATTGCAATCGCGAGAATAAATTGTCGTCCCAAGGGACTTTCATTCAAGTCATCATTCATCTTCTTGGAGTTCGCATTTCTGCCAATTATCACGATTCACGATGTCTTACTGTGAGTACCGCCTTTCAGCCTCTCAATCCTGCTAGCCGTAACCTCCAGCACGGAAGTACTGACTCTTTGATTGTGATCAATGTTCGAATTCTCCTTGCAGCCGGCGAAAGCAACCCCAGCCCGTATGACTATCCTCTCCCAGGTATGGATTATGTAGTCTACCTTAGTATCATTGTCGCGATGGATTTTTCCTGGCTTGTTACTGGATTCCGTACCAGTTCTCATAATTTCTTCTTCCTAATCCAGGTGGTTCCGCACCACGTGGAGATGTCGTCGTGACTGGCCTTACCGGCGGATACGGCAGCGAGAAGAAGGGCAAGGGCCACCACTACGGCGGCAAGGGCCACGGTCACTATGGCCACGGTCACCACGGTCACCATGGCGGACACGGCAAGCATAAGGGTGGCCATTACGGTCACCATGGTGGCAAGCATAAGGGCCACCACGGACACTATGGCCGAAAGCACAAGTAGCAAGCTCGCACCTTGTTAATTTTGTGAATATGTCGCCGTCTACCTGTGTTAAGCAATTTGCGCATTTGACAACCTAAGTTCTGAGAATGTGGGGTCCTAACTTTCCGGTTTTTTTTTTTTCGCATTGGACCTGACTACTCAGTATCCTGTGGTTGGACAGGACAAACTCTAAGAAGTTGTCACCTGCTTTAGCTCAGTCCCGACTGATATTCATAAAGCTACATCAAGGAATTTGAAGTGCAACAAGATCAAACATTACCGTATCACCAATTAGGACCTGACCTGACAACTTTGCACATAGCTACACAGAAATCCATGTGGCCCCACCCTGTTCTGTCCGCCACTTTCACTCCTACCTATGCATGTGGACTGTGATAAGTATACGGTATCTGGTGGGAAATACGTATCTGGTTGTGCCCCATCTTGTATTCCAGAGGCCCCTATCAGGTGTATGTGTGGGGGAGATAAGTATCGGTTTTGGTATCTTTTTTTTGACGTGCCAACTGAGGTGGGAAACATGTCTGGCTCCCTCTGCGGCGGCTGAGTATACACAACCGCGAGCAAAGCTAGCCTTTCTTCTGAGGAGACCCGGAACTATCAGGCTCAGTCATTAAGGCTGCAATGTACACACAACTCCACGCCTAAGTGGATCCGTCCTGCCAAATTTTGCATGAAATTGCTCAGGCGCACAGGGCTCAGTATTGCATGCTGCAGTGCCCCACAAGACTCCAGAAAAGCAGGATAGCCCCCACAGACCCCTCCACACCCCCTTCCGGCCAGCATCCCACGCTGTGGTGCACACAGAATATGTACATTGCACCACATGATGCTACATCCAACTACCGGTAGCTTCCGCACCATGGTAAATCTCCCAGTGAACTGATCAAGAATCAAGGCTCCTCAGCTCCCAATTACACCTCCCAGCTCCCACTTACACCTCCTCCCAGCTCTCCACGCTCTATGACAAGTACCAGTCATCTGGCATCCACTAATGACGCCTTACCACTCCCCCCTAGCACACGCCGCTTCCTCCCCTCCCCCCTCCCCTTTGACATTGTCCCACCACTCTTCGCCACACACGGCCTCAGCTTTGGACATCCCAACCCGAGCCTCCTGCCGAGCCAGCAGCTGGGCCCACCGGGCCTCGAAGGCTCGGTCGAGAGCGAGTGCCTCCTCCCTGTGCCGCCTGAAGGCCTCCGCCTTGGCGCTCTGATGCTCCCCCTGCAGCCTCTGCAGCTGCTGACTATACTCCACTGCTTCCTCGCAGCTTCCATCTAGACTCTTGATCGCGCCCCAGATATCTGCAGTGTCTCTCTCTGCCTCTGCTCCCTCATTCCCTCCACCGGTTCCACCAGCAGCAGCAGAACCAGCAGCAGCAGCAGCAGCAGCTGCTGCTGGAAGAAGCAGCCATGGCTAGAATTTGTTGTTCACATGCCTCTCGCCACCTCCTCCGCCACTCCACCTCCCTCCCTGCCAGCACCTGCAGCCGCTCCTCCACCTGCTGCTGCTGCACATCAAACGCCGCCTCCAGTCCGTCCAGCTGGCAGGGATTGGATGGGCGGGAGAGGGATGAACGCGGAGGTGAGAGCAGCACGGGAGGGCAGTTGCATTGGCTCGCCCCTCCACCTGCTGCTGCTGCATGTTCAAAGCAGCCTCTAGACTGTCCAGGTGGCAAGGTTCAGGTGGGACGGAGAGAAAGAGCAATGAGAGGTGGAGCAGAGAGGGGAAACAACAAGCCATGAGTTGCCGTGGCTCGCCGCTACTTTTTGGTGCTACTGCGTGTCAAATGCCGCTTTCAGGCTGAGACGATTTTTGAGTCGATTTTGAGTCGCCTTCTGAGTCGACTAAAAAATCGTCTCAACACACGCTCCTTTCGGTGCTACTGCATGTCGAATGCCGCTTTCAGGCTGAAACGATTTTTTAGTCGACTCAAAAATCGTCTCACCACACGCTCCTTTCGGTGCTACCGTGTGTCAAATGCCGCTTCCAGGCTGAGAAGGTGAGGGAGTAAGGACAGAGCTCGTGGGACACGGGGAGTTGACTTTGCTTTTCTCACGGAAGCAAGCAGGCAAGTGCTGCTGCTGTCCCTTTGTATCAACGGCGTGATCGCGATGGCGAACAAAGGGACGAGAATGGGAAGACAAGGTTCTTCCGACACTGCTGCTGTTTTGTTCTTTACAAAAGAAGGTATCACCTGGAGATCAGCAGAACAGGAAGTTGAGACACTTCCTAAACCACAGAGGAGGCACAGGAAAGGAGACAAGGGAGCAGAGAGGGAGAAGGGAGAGCAGACAGAGGGAGAAGGGAGAGCAGATAGGGCAGAGCGTGTAATCCATGCAACTCATCTCATTCACACTTTTCCACCTCTCACTGCTGCATCCCACTCCATCCAACCGCACTGCACCGCACCTCATTCCAGTGCCTCTGCTCTGCCTCCACTGCCGTCTGCCACAGCGCCAGCACCTCCTGCTCACTTGCGCCCACCCTAGCTGCCACTTCCACCAGACGCGCCTTCACCCCCTGCTCCTCCCTTAATGACTTTCCTAGAGTCGACTCAGAAATCTCCCCACTCACGCCCACCCCAGATGCCACCTCCACCAGACGTGCCTCCAAAGCCTCCTCATCCCTTGCAGTCGCTCTCTCCTCTACCTGTACCCGGCTCTTAATCTCCTCCGTCTCCTTCCCAGGCGTCTGCAGCTCGTTCGCATGCCTCTGCTCCCTCTCACACTGCTCCTCCTCTGTGTGCTGCTGTCCCGTAACACAATCCACGGCTGTTACCCCTACTTGGTCTCCACACCCATGGTGCACTGCTACAGCTGCAGCACCTGCACAGTGTTCATCCGTTAAAGCTGCAGCACCTGCACAGTGTTCATCCGTTACAGCTGCAGCACCTGCACAGTGTTCATCCGTTACAGCTGCAGCACCTGCACAGTGTTCATCCGTTACAGCTGCAGCACCTGCAGAGTGTTCATCCGTTACAGCTGCAGCACCTGCACAGTGTTCATCCGTTACAGCTGCAGCACCTGCACTGTGTTCATCCGTTACAGCTGCAGCACCTGCACAGTGTTCATCCGTTACAGCTGCAGCACCTGCACAGTGTTCATCCGTTACAGCTGCAGCACCTGCACAGTGTTCATCCGTAACAGCTGCAGCACCTGCACAGTGTTCATCCGTTACAGCTGCTTGCTCCCCCCACCCATCCTGTACTGTTACTTGGGATTTACTCGGCATTTGCTGGACTGGGGCTGCTTTAGCAGATGCCCACTGCTGCTGAGGGTACTTAGGCCAGGCACCCTCCAGCATCGCCAGAAGCTTCCTGTTGGCTTCCTTGGCCTGCTCTAGCTCCGCCTGGAGCTGAGACGCTGCCACTTGTCCCGACACGATTCGATGAGACATCTGAGCAGGAGGGGAATCAAGGTGTCAGTTGCTTTGAACAAAGCATGAGGATGCAGGGTGTTTCTGAAATGGATATAAAATACCTTTTGAACAAAAACACCCTGCATCCCTATGGAGACAGTATAGGCATCACGGTTTAATTTCACCATGGCAACAGTATCATCTCAAGAGGGCAACCTCACTATGGCAACCGTTTCATCTCACCATGACCACTGTTTCGTCTCACCATGACAACCGATTGCAACCGTTTCATCTCACCATGACAACCGTTTCATCTCACCATGATCACTGTTTCATCTCACCATGACAACCGATTGCAACCGTTTCATCTCACCATGACAACCGTTTCATCTCACTATGGCAACCGTTTCATCTCACCATGACAACCGTTTCATCTCACCATGGCAACAGTAGCCTCTAGATTGGGGGCTTGGGCAGCCCTTTCTCGCACCGCTCTCAACCGCTCATCCACCACTGCGTACCGCTTCTTCACATCCACTCTCAGCTGCGCCTTCCCTGCCATGTGACATCCATGGGATGGGAAATGTGGTATGCATGGGGATGGGGCATGCATGGGGATGGGGCATGCATGGGGATGGGGCATGCATGGGGATGGGGCATGCATAGAGATGGGGCATGCATGGGGATGGGGCATGCATGGGATGGGGCATGCATGGGATAGGCCATTGATGGGGGCCGTCGCATGCCATGCCATGAGCCACAAACCATGAGTCATGTGCCACGTGCCATGTGCTGTGCGCCATGCGCCATGTGCTATGCGCCAGTTGTCATGTGTCATGACTCATGAGCCATGCTGGGGGGGCACGAATTCTGCACGAATGCTGTGCCATGTGCCATATGCTGAACCCACCTTTGGTGTGCCTATTAAACTCTGCCACGTCACCCTCCTGTGCCATGTAAGCAAACAGGTTCCGCTTGCCGCTTTTGTCCACTAGTGAGGACGCCGTCCGGCGGATCCAGCCCTGCCGCCCCCTGCCGTCCGCCTGGAAGAGCTCGCACAGCTGCTCCGCCTGCAGTAGCCCGTCTACTGATGCCTCGAAGACCAGCACGCTCATGCCACGGTGGCCCTGGGGATCATGGGTGGGAGTTCAAGGGGTTAGAACAGGTGAGAGCCCACCGCTGCCCACCCCTGCCCACCCTTGCCGTCCGCCTGGAAGAGCTCGCACAGCTGCTCCGCCTGCAGTAACCCGTCCACTGATGCCTCGAACACCAGCACGCTTAGTCCCCCGTGGCTCTGCGAGGGAACACATCACGGGGAAAAAGGGTGAAGGGGTCCGAACGGGTGAGAGGAAACAGCTCGCACAGCTGCTCTGCCTGCAGCAGCCCATCATCCCCATCCACTGATGCTTCAAAGACCACCACACTCACTCCCCGATGGCCCTGGTGGGGACAGCAGGAGCTCACGCACACGTGCACAGCCGCTACCCCTGCAGCAGCCCGTCCCCATCCACTGATGCTTCAAACACCACCACACTCACTCACGCCGCAGTGGCCCCGGGGGGGTGGCTGGGAAGGGGGTAAAGGGGTTAGAATGGTGTGAGAGGCTAGAGCTTGCAGAGCTGCTCCACCTGCAGCAGCCCGTCTACTGATGCTCCAAACACCAACACACTTAGATTTTTGAGTCGCCTCAGAAGTCACCTCGTTACTATGGCACACAACACCTGCGGGCAGCATGTCTACTGATGCTTCAAAGACCAACACACTCACACCCCTATGGCTCTGAAGGAGAGGCGAAGGAGGAAGGGGCAAGTAGAGGGAGCGGGGAGTGAGCTCGCAGAGCTGCTCCAACTGCAGCAGCCTGTCTTCTAATGCTTCAAACACCAACACACTTGCTTCCCGGTGGCCCTGGGTAGAAGGGATTGAGGGAGGTGCTTGGATAGGAAGGTGAGGGGTTGCGAGAGGGTTACTGATGCTTCAAACACAACACAACACAACACAACACAACACAACACAACACAACACAACACGACACGACACAGCACAGCCCGTTACATAAGCATTAATCTGCCATACCTTTGGTTCGTACGCTTTCTTGGCCTTGGTGATGAGGTTGCGGTCCGGGAACAGCTGACGGAGCTCCAAGCTGCACCGCACCGCACCGCACAGCACCGCACCACACAGCACAACCCAGACAGACCCCTCTCTTTGTGAATCCCCTATTTCCTTTCCCCATATACCTGCGGCCCATACGCGTTCTTGGCCTTGGTGATGAGATTGCATTCCGGAAACTGCTGGCGGAGCTCCAAGCTGCCCATGCCCACCCACTGGAGCGGAAGGGGGCGGGGGAAGGGGAGGGGGGAGGGGGAGGGGGAGGAGGAGGGGGAGGGGGAGGGGGAGGGGGAGGGGGAGGGGGAGGGGGGGGTGGGGGGAGTGAAAGGGGATAGGAGAGTTTGAAGGCCGGAAACTGCTGGCGAAGCTCCAGGCTGCCCAAGCGCACCCACTGGGCCGGGGGCGAGGGGGAGGGGGAGTGAAAGAGGAGAGGTGAGGAGAGGGGAGATGAGAGCAACTTAGGTGACTTTTGAGAGGGGTGAGTCGACTCACAAGTCACCTCGAGAGGTGAGGAGAGGGGAGAGGAGAGCATGGGATGGGGAGAGGAGAGCATGGGATGGGGGGAGGAGAGCATGGGATGGGGGGAGGAGAGCATGGGATGAAGTCAGGAATTTGCTGGCGAAGCTCCAGGGTGCCCATGCCTATCCGCTTGCCCCTCTCCCCTCCCTTCCCTTTTGTGCCCCCCACTCACCATTCCATCCTCGTCCGGGCACAGGTGTGTGTTGCGCACCACCACCACGGGCGGCCACACCACACTCTCGTTGCCCTTCTTCCCCCCCTTGGCCCGTGCGCCCCCCAACCCCCTCCATTGATTCACAGGGGGACTCCCCAGAAGCACCGATGCTGCTCCTGCTCCTGCTGATAACGCTTGCAGCGATGGTAATGATGTTGATGCTCCTGCTGGTGCAACCCCTCCTGCTGGTGCAACCCCTCCTGCTGGTGCAACCACTCTTGCTGCAGCACATCTGTGCATCCCTCCTCCCTCCGCACTCCAACCCTCCCCTCCACTCCCCTCTCCCCTCCCCCTTTCTCCCCCTCGCCCACCACCCTCCCCTTTTCCCCCTCCCTTTCCACCCCCGGCGTCCCCTCCAACCACTCCCCCGCCAAGCATCACCAGCCCCGAGCCCTTATCCTTCATCCTCTCCCCGAGAGCAGCAGCAAACGTGCGGTGCTCCTTCATCCTCCTACTCCTGATGCTCAGCGCGTGCTGCAGCAGCGCCCGCACGCCGTCCCACCACTCTGTCTCGCCCTTGCCGCCCGCGCACACTGGGCACTTGAACTGCCTCTGGTTGTGCGAGCGGTTTTGCCAGCCCTTTCGTCGGTAGTTGCTGCTGTTGTTGCGCCACTCGGAGGGCGAGAGGCTGTCGAAATCCCGAAGGAACCTGCGAACAGGCTCGGGTAGCTGGAGGGAGAGGAGCAGGGAGGGGAGGTGAAAGGGGAGGGGAGGTGGGAAGGGGAGGTGGGAAGGGAGGTGCGGTCAGTATCGGACAGGTGGGCTGCGAAAGCCTTACTTCCATCAGCTCGTGTGGTTATTAGGACGACGAGACAAACTCAGTCTGTAGCAGGCAAACAGTAACAGCAGGAAAACGGGCACAACAGGAAAACGGGCACAACAGGAAAACGAAACAAGCGAAGGCGCACACAGCACGGCACAGCAAGCCAAAGTACCTGAGCAAACGTCCCTCCTCCTCCCACTGCTGTTGGTCCTGCCCCACGGCCAGCCATAGCCTCCATGGCCACGCCATAGAGTGGGCAGTCATCAGCCAGAGTGCTGTGGAGGAACAATCCGATGAATCAATCTCTTCCTTGCTGTCCACATCCGATCCAAAGCCCTCGCCGCCATCCGAGTACGAGTAGGAGTACTTACAACACGCAAACCAACGTACGGACTTTTGAATCGCCTCAAAAGTCGTCCCTCTACCCGCAATTTTTTTAGGCGCCTCAGGAGTAGGAGCACTTACAGCACGCAAACCAACTTACAGGCAACAGCAGGCCAACGTACCTGAGTGGGCGTCCCTCCTCCTCCCCCTGCTGCCCCACGGCCTGCCAAGCCAGCCATGCCCTCCATGCACACGCCATACAGCGGCCAGTCATCCGCCAGTGTGCTGTCGAGAAACAGCGACTCCATCTCCTCCTCGCTGTCCACGTCCGAGTCAAAACCCTCTCCACCATCTGAGTACGAATAGGCGTTCGATGGCAGGTCGTCACTGTATGGCACATCACCGGACGGCAAGTCGGGATATGCACCCTTGCCTCCTGCCTCCTCTCCTTCTTCCACCCGTTGCTCTTCTCCTGCCTCCTCCTCCCTCTCCTCCCTCTCCTCCCTCTCCTCCTTCCTCCCCTCCCTCCCCCGCTCCCTCCTCCGCTCCCTCCTCTTCTCCCTTCTCCCATCGTTCCTCTCCTCCCTTCTCCTCCCTCCTCTCAGTGCCACGCATCCCTTGCTTTCTGCCTCCATCTGTCGCTCCCTCTACCTTTCCACACTCGCTCCCTGCTCCCTCACACTCCCACTCACCACCATCCCTGACAACTCTCGCCCATGAAACTGCCTCCGCCCCGGAACCTGCTTGGGAATCTGCCGCTGGCGCAGCTGCAATCCCCTGTGCCCTCCCATCCCCTTCCGCCAAGCTTCCACCTGCCACTGTCACACGGGCAGCAGCTGCTGCAGCCGGACCTGCAGCTTCGGAGTCTTTGCGAGCTGCTTCCTCTACTGCTCCACCAACATTACCACCACCAGCAGCAGCAACAGCAGCAGCAACAGCAGTAAAATTCCGTGTGTTCGCAGCATCACTGCAATCGGCTATACTCACAGCACCATCGGTACCTGCAGCACCATCAGCGCCTGCAGCACCATCGGTACCTGCAGCACTATCATCAGCGCCTGCAGCACCATCGGTACCTGCAGCAGCAGTGGCGGCCTCTCTCACCCACTCCTCCGTGCGCTGTGCCTTGCGTGACAGCTTCACTGCACCCACAGGCATCTGCTGCTGCAGCAGGCTTAGAGGGGGGGTCCCTGAACCAGACATGTGCAGTTGGGGTAGGTGAGGGGACCCCAATGGGGGGATGCAGGGTGGTGGCGTGGCAGTGAGTGTTGGTGACGCTGCTGGCTCGAATGAGCCCCCTCCCCACGCGTCACCACCCTCGCTCCACCCACCACCACCACCACTGCCAGTGCTCCCTTCCTCACTCTCTCTCCAACCGTCACTACCCCCCTGGCCTCTTGAGTCCTCTCCCCAACCTGCTCTTCCCCATCCCCTTCCCCACCTCCCCCTCCCCCAACCTCTCCCCCTCCCCCTTCCCCTCCCCCGCCAACTCCCCCATCCGCCCGCTGCTCCTCTTCCTGCTGGGTGTGACGTGGCAGATGGCCATTGGCTGGGGGAGCTATCAAGGGGAGTGGGAACGGACGACGAGAAGGTTGTAGCAGCTGCTGTAGCTGCAGCATCAGTAGGAGTAGGAGCCGGAACAGGAGCAGGAGCGGGAGCAGGAGCAGCTGCTGTAGCAGTGGCACTAGCAGCAGGAGGAGCAGGGTTAGCATCATTGGCAGCGGCAGGAGAAGCATCAGCAACAGGAGGAGTAGCAGCAGCAGCAGGGGCAGCATTAACAGCAGCAGGAGCAGAGCTTATGGGAGGTCCCTTACTCCAGGCGCCTTGTAGTGTTACACTCGCGGCATCCACCACCTCCTTGTCCCCACCTTCTCCCTCCCAGCCCTCTCCTCCAATTCATTCCGCCTCTCCCTCTCATCCCTCTCCTGCTGCCTACTCTCTCGCTCCAGGCTCTCTTTCTCCCTCTCTCGCTCCTCCCTTTCCTTCTCCCTCTCTCGCTCCTCCCTTTCCTTCTCCTTATCCCTCTCCCTACAGTCCCGCTGCATGGGTGGCTCATACACCTGCCAACCCCTCCTGCCTGCCCGCATGGCACTGCCCCCACTGCAGCTGATGCTGCTGCTATTGCTGTTGTTGCCATCGTTGTTGGTGCTGGTGCCGGTCATGGTCGTGGTGCTATCAGCAAAACCATCGCCGGCAGCAGTGGCAGCATCAGCAGCGGCAGCAGATGCAGAAGCAGGTGCGGCAGGAGCAGGTGTGATGGTATTAGGCGTGATAGTAGCAGGAGTAATGATAGCAGGTGTGACAGTAGGAGGTGTTACAGAAGCAGGCGTGACAGTGGCAGGCGTGACAGTGGCAGGTGTGACAGTGGCAGGTGTGATAGTGGCAGGTGTGACAGCAGATGGTGTTACAGCGGCTGCAGCAGCAGCAGCAGCAGCAGCAGAAGCAGAAGCAGGCCGGGGTGCAGTGGTCCCATCATCATCATCAGCATCCCTCCAACCCACTATATCCCCCCTCCCATCGTACACCGGAACCTTCCCAGCTGCTTCCTCTGCTGCTGCCGCGGCAGAACCTGCACCAACGCTGTCGTGAAAGCTGGCACCAGCTGGACCACTGCCCAGGGCAGGCTCGGAACGATCCGAACCAAACGGGCCAGGCTCGGAGCAGCCCGAACCAGAGGCGTCAGGCTCGGCATAAGGCGTGGGGGAATCACTCTGCTGTTTCTGCCACCGCCACTCCCCTCCACTCTCCCCCTGCCCCTCCCATCCCTCCCCATCATACCCTCCCCTCCGCTCCTCACCTCCCCATCCCAGCTTCTCTCCCCCACTCTCAAACTGCCCCTCCCTCCCCTGCTGCTGCCCTTCCCCCCAGTCGTTCCACTGCCTCTCCCCCTCCCATCTCCGTCCATCCCATGATGCTTCCCCCTGCTTTCCACTTTGCCTCTGCCCCCCCTCCCAATACTGCTGCTGTTGCCCTTCCGCCCATTCCCTCCCCCCTCCCACATTACGCCCTCCTCCCCAGCTCCCCGCCCCCCTTTCCTGCCCTTCCCACCGCCTATTGTATTGCCGCTGCACTTCCCCCTCTTGTGTTGTCCCCTCTTGCCCCTGCCACCCCTGCTGCTCCCCACTCTCCCAAGTAAACCCTCCTCCTTCCCCATATTTTTCCCCCCCATACCCCCCTCCGGCCCCATACCTCCCTCCGCCCCCATAAACCCTTCCCCTCCCATACCCCCCTCCCCCACCATACCCATCTCCTAACCCGTACCCTCCTCCCCCATAGTCCCCTCCCCCATAACCCCCTCCTCCCCCATACTCCCCCTCTTGCCCCCGTCCCCTCTCCCAACCGTTTCCCCACCTTCCCCGCCCTCCTCTCCGCCACCCCTTGCCTCTGCCCCATCCCTTTTCCCATCCCCCTCCCCACCCCCCTCTCCGCCCACTCCCTTTCCCCTCACCCCCGCCCCAGTTGCGCCCGTCCCCACTTCCGCCCCAACCAGACCCTTCCCCTCCGCCCGGATACCCATTTCCTCCACTCCCCCAGTACTGTTCCCCTTGCGCGCCCCAGCTGCGCCCTCCCGTTGCTCCCCCATGCCCTTGCGCCTCCCCCCCAAAGTGCCCCTGCGCCTCCCCCCAAGTCTGCCCCTGCTCCGCCTCCCAATACTGCCCCTGCCCTCCCCCCCCAAACTGCCTCGCACCGTAACCCTCAAATTCCTGCCCTCCGTACACTTCCGCACCCATCTCCACTGCACCGAACCCCACACCACCAGACGACTCACCCGCCTGACAACCCCAAACAGCGGCCACCCCAGCCAATCCCCCCTCACCCTCCCTTCCCAACCCCCTCCCCCCCGTTACATCACCAAAACCCGTTACAGGAACAAACTCATTCACAGCCAATCCCTGCCCTTCCCCCTGCATTCCCCCCTGCATGTCCCCCTGCCCTCCCCCTGCACCTTGAAACTCCTCATCACCCCATCCAGTGGCCGCCAATGCCCCCCCTCCCGAGGCCGCGAGTCTCCTAAGTCGTTCCTGGGCGTCTTTAAGAACCTCGCGCTGCTTCTTGTGCTTCTGAACCTTACGCCCCTTGCCGCCACTGGACACGCTCCTCGATTTCTTCGTATCGGCACCGTGAGACCCGCCGGGAGATGCGCCGTGAGACGCGCCGTGAGATTCGCCGCGAGCGGCGGAAGAGGTGGCGTCCACGCTTGCGAAGCCTCCCGAATCCCTCTCTCGGCTCTCCATCGTCTAGCGGCCTGCGTGAATGCTCGAGGTGGCTTCTGAGTCGACTCAAAAGTGACCCAGCCTGTGTAAATACTCAAGAGACTAGCGTCGTTCTACCAGCCTGGTTTTTCTAGTCGACTCAACAACCGCCTGAGAGACCTCCCGCTTCATTCTCACGGCTCTCCATCATCTACCAGCCGGCGTGGATGCTTCTCCTCCCAACTTTCTACAGCACGCCTACGAAATCCTATTTAAAGGTCTCTGTAGCCTACGTGTTCTCCTATAGCAGAGGTAGTAGCCAATGGTCGAACGTCGTTAAGCGAGCCCTAAAAATCTCGCTCGAGGGTTGAAGCACACGTCACACTCGCAGCGCGCATCTCCTTCTGACGCGGCGTAGTTCCCGGCCGCGCGCTGAGAGCGTTGCGTTTTAGTGAAGGGAGACCCGAGTCCGTTCGCAATCCCGTGAACCGCTGTTTCCGTTGTCGCCGTCACCGTCTCTGTCGCCGTCGCCGTCGACGTCACCGCCGGCGATTTCGCATCTGCGTCTCAGCTAGTTCCGCCACCTTACTTCACCACTCACGCAATAACGAAAATCAAGGTGCATTTGCTATTTCTGCATGAACGAATTCGCCAAATGAATCCGCAACGCGAGCGAAGGAGAATAAGACATCGTGCGAGGAGAGGGTATGCGTAAAGAGACGCAATGTCCAGCGACGCCGTGAAGGGCGGAGCAGAGCATTGCTACAGTATTCGCAAGCACACGTAAATCCCTGGAATTGACAGGCGCTTTGCGAAATTGGAGACTACAATGGGGGCAAGCAGAGAGGAGAGAGAGGATGGATGGAGGGATGTACGTGTGTGTCTCGGAGGGATGCTGCACTGTGCATGCTCCAGGGTGCTTGCTGTCGGCCGTATTCGTTGAAAGGTAGGGAACAGACTTCCGGTGGTTTAGATAGATGATCTGGGAAAACGTCGAACCGGAATCGACTCGTTCCTGATACGACTTTCGCTACCTCGTGTGGGGACGAGATCTGTAGGTTGTATGTACTTCCTAAGGGCAGAAACCCACTTAACCAACTGCGGATCAGGTACAGACAATTTATAGCCGCATTCGAACGTACTCTCCGAATATGCCCTCGTGTACGTTCTGCAAACGAGGATGGCAGGGGAATCTACTCTCCTCTTCATCTATATGATCATGAATCACAAAGCCAACAAGTTGCAATCTTCCTATTAAAAAAAAATATACTCCACTACATGAGAATGCTTGAATTACTCATACACAAAACATAGTCCCCCAAACCCACTTTACCACCCAACCATCCCACAGGCACCATCATTATATTACAGGAAGGAACATCACTCGCTAGCCAATCCCCCAAAGTCATGCTCATAAGAGAAAACAGTACTGCATCCACAGACGATCCACGCGGAACTATTGTGACGTCATGCTCATAAGAGAAAACAGTACTGCATCCACAGACGATCCACGCGGAACTATTGTGACGGCATAGCACAGTCACATCACCTAAACCAACACTCCATCTCGTTATGCTATCACATCCTCTACACCTTTCGCAGCTGGCCACGCACAGCACCGTCGGAATAACGCTTGGTGTGAACATTCCCATAGTAGCTGGAAGGACGCTTTGCAATCTTGCTCAGAGCCGCCTTGAGCTCCGCCGTGCGCTCGCTCTCTTTCTTGCCCAGCTTGCCCTCGCATAGCCAATATTCATCCCCTTTCTTCGCGTACACACACGGAAGGTCCAGCAGCACGTCGCCGTTCTTCCCCTTCTTCCCCGCGTGCACGTGTGTCTTGGTGGGTGGCATCTCTCCCTTGAGCCGGCGCACGCTCACCTGGAACTTGACCCATGCTGGACTGCTGTCATCATCATCATCATCATCATCATTCATGCAGTAATTTAACCAAAGAAATGGGAGAGAGAGACCCCCCCCCCCCCCCCCCCCCCCACCACACCCCCCCCCCCCCCCCCCCCCCCCCCCCCCCCCCCCCCCCCCCCCCCACGCACACACCACAACAAGGAGAGAGAGAGAGAGAGAGAGAGAGAGAGAGAGAGAGAGAGAGAGAGAGAGAGAGAGAGAGAGAGAGAGAGAGAGAGAGCGAGAGAGAGAGAGAGAGAGAGAGAGAGAGGTCAGGTGAAAGCTCAATGAATCAAATGAGAACATTTTGTGCTTGAATCCACTACTGCAAGAACCAAATCACAGCAGCAGAGAGGCAGGCAGGAGCACTAGTACGGCAAAGTTGATGCGGACGAAACAGAAGGTGCTGTACTTGTTGACTGCTTGTCCAGTCGCCTCAGCCATAGACTGTGGAGTGAAAGAGAAGGCACTAGTAGATTGTGAGGCGCAGGTAGCCCACGCAGGTGACTTTTGAGTCGAATCAAAAGTCACCCCAGCTTTAGACTTCGTGTGAGAGAAAGAGTAAGTACTTGTAGATTGTGAGGCGCAGGTAGCCCACGCCTCGCAGGTCGCCCACAGAGGCTTTCGCTGCCTTGGAGCTGTTCTTGGGAACCTCGTTCACTCCCAGGAGCGTTGCCGCGAAGGTGCCTGCAGAAGGCAAAGAGAATTGTCAAGTCTTTTTAGTCGACTCAAAACCAGCTGCCCTGGAGATGTTCTTAAAAACCTCGTTCACTCCCGGGAGCGTTTCCGCGAAGGTGCCTGACGGGGGGGGGGGGGAGGAACGGAAGTGTCAGGTGTGCACGGGTTTCTGTCTGTCTGTGCGACATAGGCCTATGTCTATGTCGCACAGACTGTGCTACATCGGATGCTACTTCTATGCGTTGCGAGAATTATCAATTGCTGGAAAGTAGGAATATTGTTGAATTGCAGAAGCATGCAGTAGGAGCAATCAAGAGTTGGCAGCTGAGAGATCAGAAAACAATGGCTGCAGTAATTGCACCAGGGGTAGCAGCGGAGATCGTAGGGAGAGATATGGGGGTAGCAGCGGAGGTAGCTGCAGTAGAAGCAGCGGAGTTAGCAGCAGAGGCAGCAGCGGAGATAGCAGCAGAGGCAGCAGCGGAGATAGCAGCGGGGGTAAACAGGAGAGATAACCAGAGGGGTAGCAGGAGAGACTCACGGGAGTCGTTGTCATCTCCCAGCGCAGCTGCCAGCAGCGCCGCAGCACAGTCTGCAACAATTCCAGACGATCCGACACACCAATCAGGATCCAGGGTCACTTTCATCAGAGCGCGGTTCACAGGAAAGAAAAAGAATAACAAACAAAAAAAAGTATCACAAACAATTTGAAGCAGAAACATACTGGCGAATACGTACCGATTAGAAGGAGGACTCGAGAATCTAAGAATGCCATTCTGCTCGGAGCGAGTCAGGAACGTTCGACAGCTGACGAGCTGAATCGAATGCGCGGTGAACGCAGCTGAAGAAGAAAGGAGCAATTGAGCAGGAGCGGATTACTACAACTTTGGTGTTTGAGAGCCTGAGCAATAAATACGGTTTAAAACTAGGCCGCAGCCGCGAAGCACCTAGGCGCTGACAATAGTCCGCGCTGGTGGCGCGAACCTCGCATACTCGACGCTGGCGTCGCACAGGAGCTTGCCGTCGCACAGGTGCTGACGGCGCAGGCGCAATCTCAGGAAGCTCCTGAGATTGTTACTCCAAAAAGGTCAACATTCAAGATGCAACAGTAACTTTTTTGGCCTGGAAAATCCCGCGTCGCTGCTTGTCGGCGCGGCTGCACTTGATCGCGACATCGCATCCAGATCTCAATTCGCCAGTTTTCGAGGTCCAAGCCCCTCAGTAATCGACAGAGAAGATTCATAAACTCGTGAACCTGGAAATACCACTTCAACCTCTCAGACCAGGTTGCATCGTCGAAGCAATGTACGCCACGAGTTTGGCCGCCAGGCGAAGAAAAGGGAGAAGCGGATTCGGCGGCGAGCAAGCAAAACGCAGGGTGCAGCCCATCGCATCGCACGGGAGCGCGTCGCAGAGTCTAATTTGTGGAGCCGCGATGGCCTTGGAAATGCGTGTTGAAGCGGAAACATCAGGCGAGGTGTAAATGGCTGCGATGTCGGCACCGTCCGTGCATCACGGGGCGGGAAAGGATGAGGGAAAGGGAGGGGAAACGGAGGGGGAAGGCCGCCTCGACATCATCGATGCCATCTATTTGCCACGTGGCACCTTGCTGTGACAAAGCTTGCAAGCCGAGCCGAGACACTGCGGAGGCAGGGCAGGAGTGTTTTAGGGCGATTCGTATCCCGTGTCAGATACAAAGCTAGACACGAAGTGGAGGTTCGGAAAACCCGAAGTGGTTCGTTTGTGGGGTATTGGAAGTTCGGAAGAGACAAATTGGAGACTAAGGGCTGATGACTTCAGGTCTGACACGGGATACGAATGCGCCCTTACTCGAGCTTGTCTGTTCTTGAATCTTTGAGCTGCGATTGCCTGAAGTAGCGCTGCTGGCTCGATGGTGTAGTTGCGGAAATCTCTGGTCGGCGGAGGTTGACGAGTGGAGAAAATTGCTGAAGTGCCTAACGAAGCGAAGGTGCTCAGGGCGCGTAACAATTTCACTTTCCATCGGTAGGGTGTGCTTTCGTTGTAGTTCGTTTCAGCTTTCGCAAGACAACCTGCGACGTCACTACCGTCCGAACAAAATCTGACACTTTTCTGCCAAAAAGTGGTCCGGACTAACCTGCTGACACCGTCCGAACGGCATTTCGGACCGTCCGTTTTTTCTGCGCGGTGATTGGGGCGCGAACTAGGCGAATTAGTCAACCAATTCAGTGCCGCCGATTCTTCGTGGCGAAGATTCCAAGGACTGTACGATTTCAGTAATGCGATTTCAGTATTACGTGGCGAGATCCAGTCTTCAACAAGTTTCACAATTGTGGTCTGGACGCCCTATCGTCCGGACCTGATTCCCAAACGTCCGGACGGAGCTCTGTCCGGCCGACTTGGAGGCTCCGTCCGGACATTTGACGAAAATGGGAAAACTTACACGCCCTCAGTGAGGACTTGTAACTTTTTTTCGAGCCAACGGTCAAACGACATTTTGAAAGGTTCATCCTGGTGCGCAATGGTCCAATGCGGTTAGAACATAATTCGAGTTTCTTGCCACACTTTCTTGCCTCCTAAATCCTGCCCCCTTCACATCCAGACCTGCTACTAGCTGCTGGTTAGAATTCCCAAATCATTTCTCTTGGACAAAAAATCATCACTCGTGCCAGAAAACAATACAGAATTAGAAGCCATACCCAATCAAATCACCCAATTAAAAGCATACAAAAGCATACTACCACAAAACCGTCCATCAAACCTTTGGAGTGCGTGTCCCTTTTTCTCTCGATTCAACCCCTCACTCCACCAACCACCACACTTGATCATGGCATGGCAGATTGAGCTACCATGCCCCTACGACGCATTGCGGAGCTGACCACGAACAGCACCGTCAGGGTAGCGCTTGGTGTGAATATTCCCATAGAAGTCAGCAGGGCTCTTCTCAATCTTGGTCAGAGCCGCCTCGAGAGCCTTCGTGCGCTCGCTCTTGTTCTTGCCCAGGTTCCCCTCGCAGCGCCAGAGCTCCTTGCCCTTGTTCGCGTACTTGCACGGCAGGTCAAGCAGCATGTCGCCGTTTTTTCCCTTCTTCCCCGCGTGCACGTGCGTTTTGGTGGGCGGCATCTCTCCCTTGAGCCGCTGCACGGTCACTGTATACTTCATCCACTTAGGCTCGTTATCGTGGTCCCTGATTAAGGGAAAGGGATAGCAGAATTCGACGTTTGTGTGGGTGAGAAATCCATTCAGTGGCCAAGGCAATAATCTCTGTTATTGATGCGTGTTCGTTTGTCAGGGCTACTACGACATATTCTGTCTGACAGCAAATTGATCGCGAAAGAAAAAAAGAACAAAAATAAGAGCGAACATACTTGTAGATTGCGAGACGCATGTAACCCACGCCTCGCATGTCTCCGACGGCGTTCTTCGCAGCCTGGGTGTCGTTCTTGGGAATTTCGCCAGCTCCCAGAAGAACCGCGGCAAGGTTGCCTGCAAAGGGAAACAAAAACTTCGTTTAGCTCACACGAATCTTGATAATGAGCATGAAAAGAGTGCTTCTTTTGACGGTAGCAGGAAATACATGGCGGAAGCAGAGCGCAGCAGCATGGCGATGCAGGGAGCAGTGGAAAAGAAAAACTGTTAAAACGAACATTTGAAAGCATGAAATCGGGGAAGCAGCAACAAACGGAAAAGGGGCCTCACAAATCGCTAGGTCGTGTGCCAGGGCGGTTGTCGCAAAAGCCGCTGCACACACTGCGATCAGGCGTCAAAGAGAAAAACGAACCAACACAAGCCAGCGTCAGGATGGCTCATAGCTTCTCTTTTTTTTTTTTCGTTAGCAGACAGAATGAATCTGACCAGAGCGACGATAGTACCGGGGGTATTGCACATGAAGCTATGCTACATAGAGAACGCACCAAGCAGAAGAAGAACCCGCGACTCCATAGCTGCGAAAGGGTCTGTCGCAGGAGAGCGTAAGGGAACTATAAAGCAGTATTTTCGAGCTCAAACGAGTGGTTTGGGCTGCACTGGTTGCTAATGTGCACGATTTAGAGTCTGAATATACGAGCGTAATCTGGGCTATTTGGTAGTGCTCGTGAAGGGGGCCAAGAAGGGCCACTCAGCGGGGATAAGAGGAGCAGCCGTCTCGGGGCTCGAAAGCGCCTCGAGTCGCACTTCTTGAGACTGGCGCACGAGTCGCTAGGCGGCGTAGTTGCGTCGGACTTCGCCATCCTCACGACCCGCCAGGTGGCAGGTGGCAATTTCGGAATTTCTCCATCGCACGTCAGCACTACGCTCATGTAGGAAGGGTTGTGTATCGGGCCTGAACCGTCCAAACTAGCTCATTCTGCCTAACCGCAGGTGATACAGCATATCGCCTGTCAGCCACTCGCTCACACGTGTCAGGCTAGGCTGGTTAAAACCCGCGGGCCACAGCTTTCAAGGTTAGGAAGCCTGGTTCAAGTATTGGGCCTACGGTAAAGATGCGTTCTGGAGCCGAAAGATTAGCGCCGGCGGCATCGCCACCGTCCGTCCAACATTCAGGAACGAGGTCAAGAGCAGATCGTATCCCATTTCAGGGTGATTCATAAAGTTTAATTTTAGAGACAGATCGCTACACCTCAGAGAAATGCCTAAACAAGAATCTGGAATTGAATGCCACAACAGTCACATCACAAGGATCACATCTACACTGCCAGCTTGTCTTGGAGCAAGTCACAACAGTCACAAGGATCACCACCACAGCACCTATCCACATACGCATTTAAACAAATCCATGAAAAAAAAAAAAAAAAAACTCCCTGATGCTACAAAAGAAGGGGCAACAGGTGGCATGCAATGCCATGACACACAAGCTTGGAATGGCGTGCCATTGCGAGCAGCCAGCCACTCAGGATGTGCAGCCCAAGTCAGCCCCACCATGGCTTCAGAAAATCCAGATAGTGTGCCAACCATTTTGGATCTTCGACCCATCTCGTCCCCACTTGTCTCCAGAGCCCCACCCTAAGTGAAGCATTAATGAAGCTCACATCCATTCTCACTGATGCTCTGATGGACGCTACGCTACCTGCAAGATCGATCACTGAATCAAGCCTGGCCCTTCTCCAAGCCCAAGCCTGACTAGACCACCTCCCAAGCCAAGCCCAAGCCTGACTGGACCATGTCCCAAGCCTAGCCCAAGCCTGAGTGTGCAAAAGCTGGGCAGACAAGATACAGGCAAGCTGTTGACTGAGACAGCTGGGGTAGCATAGCACGTCAGACCACACCATCCAATTTGCCGCCATGTGTTGCCACGCGATGCAGTGCCATGCCATGCCATGCCATGCCATGCCATTCACTGTAGGCCCCTGTCATCATCCTCCCAGTGCAACCCCCATCCAGCAGCACCAGCAGCACCAGCAGCAGCAGCACCAGCAGCACCAGCAGCACCAGCAGCAGCACCTGCAGCAGCAGAACAGACGCAATTGAGCTGGTGGCATTGAGCGCTCTCAGCTGCAAGAAATGGTCCTGTGTTAACCCTGCTGCCCTGCTGTGCCTCTCAATCATCTCCTGAGTCAATCATCTCACCAGGTCCCCACCGTGCCATGCCCCTTGCCCTCTCGCACCTCCCTCCTCTCACGCCCCTCCCTCCTTCTCACGCCCCTCCCTCCTTCTCACGCCCCTCCCTCCTTCTCAAGCCCCTCCCTCCTTCTCACGCCCCTCCCTTCTCTCACGCCCCTCCCTTCTCTCACGCACCTCCCTTCTCTCACGCCCCTCCTCTTTCGCATCTGCCTCCTCTCCTCTCACACACCCCTCCCTCCTTCCTTCTGTGAAGCATCTCAAGTCAAGCCACATACTCTCTCCTCTCACGCGTCTATCACTACCGTGATGCTTGACCTTCACACCACGACCAACAGAGCAACTCAAAACCCTTCCCCAAGATCTTCCCGATACCCCCGAGGCTCCCCCAGACTCCAAGACGCTCCCCAAGCCTCCCTGAGGCTCCCCGAAGCTCCCCCAGGCTCCCCCGGGCTCCCCCAGGCTCCCCCAGGCTCCCCCAGGCTCCCCCAGGCTCCCCCAGGCTCCCCCAGGCTCCCCAAGACTTCCCGAGCCTCCCTGAGGCGCTCAACACTCAGCGCACCATAAGCACCCCAGGGACTGTAAGGGTGGCAGGACCCACCCATCCGCCCTTGTCCATCTCAGAGGCTCTTCCTCATGAATTGTGCACGGCAGAAAGGCAGAGAACCCCATCGGCTGCACCCGGCCACGCAGGCAGAGAACCCGAGTGTGGATCCAGGAGGAGAAAAGGGCTCGTGCACTGGCCATAAGGCACTGCGCACTGCACACTGCACACCGAGCACTGACTGACCAGTGAGCAGTGAGCAGTGCAGAGCGGGTGATAATGACCATTCTCTGCTAGGGAGGGCGGACCCCTCCCTCCCCAAGGCCTGTGCTGATGATGCTTCCGCTGGGATCAGCCCGTTGAGAATGGAAGAGGGCCGTTGAGGCGCGGACAAGGGCAAGAAAATGGGCCGAGTCTCCCGCATACCCTTGATAAGAGTCGACTCCAAAATCGCCTGGGAGGAAGAGGGGACTGTGCCATGCCATGCCTGGGACATGCCATGCCATACCTGGGACATGCCATGCCATGCCTGGGACATGCCATGCCGCCAGAGGGTACCCTCCACATCCTCCAGGTGCCCGTGGGCCTCTTGGGCTCGTGCCATGCTGAAACACATGCCGCTGGCAGGATGTAAAGGGGTGCTGAGCGGTGCGCTGCGGTGTGGCTCCACCAACCAGTGCCCATGCAAGGCCACACGTTGCCAAAGAAAAGGCCCAAGGGGGGAGATTCGCTATGAAGACCCACCGCTGCCCCTCTTTGAGATGCTGATTCGATTCGCCCGTGCGAGAAGTCCGCATGACCATTCTGCTTCGCCGTCTCACTTAGAAACAACTCCCGAGGTCAGCTTCACTTCACCCATAGGAGCCCGAGACTCGTGACCCGTGACAATTCGCCCTACCCCCACCCCGTCCTCCTTTCCTCTCCCCCCTACCTCCCCCGCCTCGCCACCCACTCCGCCCCCCTGCACCTCTCCCCACATTTTGAGGCGCCTCAAAAGCTGCCGCTCTCCCCACACCCACGCTGCTCCCATCGCCCCTTCCTGCCCCCCCTGCTCCCCCTGCTCCCCCTACTCCACCTGCTAATCTTGCTCCTCCCGCAAATGACACTGCTGCTGCCGCCGCCGCTGCTGCTGCTGCTGCCGCCGCCGCCGCCGCTGCTGAAACAGCCGATGCAGATTCCTTCTCTGAGACTCGTGACGCTCCTGCTGACGATGCCGTTGCCATGCCCACTGCTCCCACATTTCCTCCCCCCCTTTCCCTCCTCAAAGCCCCCTCTTTCCCTCCTCTCACCCGGCCAGTTTTACCACTGTCCACCCTCCCTTCCCCCTCCTCCTCCGTGTCACCCCAAACACCAAGTGCCACACAGGGAGGGGATGGGAGGAACAAAGCAGATCCCCCAGCAGCTTTCCTCCTGCTGCTCCTGCTGCTCCTGCCCCAGCCGGTGCTGGCGCTGGCGTTGGTTCCAATGGTACGGGGCCAGGGGCGAGAGGAGGGGAGGCGTGGAGGAGAGATGGGAGGAGGAGGTGCAAGGGCAGGCGGAGGCAGAGGGACGAGTTTGGGGGGAGTAGGATGGGCGAGGGCGGGGCGAGGGTGCGGGCTTGGGTGGAGTGATGGTGGGAGGACTTCTGGTTCTGGGTAGAACTGCTGCTGTGGGCAGCTGCAAGGGGAATAGATGAGGTGCTGCTGCTGCTGCTGCTGCTGCTGGTAACCGCGGAGGGAGGGAGGAGGAGAGTGGGGCAGGATGCGAAGAGAAGCGCATGGTTAGGAGTCACCTGCAAGTGCGACGGGGGGAAAAGGGAAAGAGGTGTGAAAATCAACCAACGTTAACTAATCGCGCCACAAATGGTCGACCAATAAGCTGGCTTGAGAAAGTTTACAACCGCTTTTTAAGAGCTGAGACGTCTCAAACCTTGAGAACGCATCAAAAGACGCAACAACAAAAAACAACAAGCAAGCAAGAACTTTGGCTGCCTCCATTGTGAGCCCTCCACCCACTGTGGGCTGAGGGTTGGGAACCAGCATTGGGCAGAGATGGAGAGGCATGTGAAATGAGAGTGCTTCTGAGGCGAGTGTGGAGCCGTATTGGGCTCTCCACCTCTGCCTCAAAACCACTCACTCTCATTTCAAGTGAGATACATGTGCATGGACGCTACACGTCCGGGCAGAGATGGAGAGTTCATAATGCGGCGTCCAACAGGTTACTGACCACGTAGATGCGCTGCAGAGTAGCAGCAGTTGTGGGGAAGAACCTTCTCCTGTGCCGCAACTTGCCCTCTCTCCTCACCGCTTTCCCTCCAACGATCGCCTTTCCGCCTTCCCTCTCACTCGCTTCTCCCTTTGAGCCACTGCGGCTCGCATCACCAGCAGTCAAGGCCTTGGCTTGTCCTAATCCTCCTTCCCCTTCCCAATCATCCTTGCTCACGATCGCTCTTCCCACCCCTTCCTCCTTTGCTTCCTCCTCTTCCCCTTCTCCCTCCTCCTCCCCCCTCTTCTCTCCCTTTCCTCCCTCCTCCTCCTCCTCCTCCTCCTCCTCCTCCTCCTCCTCCTCCTCCTCCTCCTCCTCCTCCTCCTCCTCCTCCTCCTCCTCTCCATCCCCCTCTCCCTCCCCCTCTCCTTCACCCTCTCCCTCCACTCTCTCATCCCTCCCCAACATCACCTCCTCCCCCTTAACAATCACACTCCTCACACCACTCCCTCTCACCGCCTCACACCCAGGGCACCCCACCACCAGCGCCTGATCTCTCCCAACCCACTCCCCAACCCAATCCTTCACTCCTCCCATCAAATCCTCTGCCCCTCTTGCCCCATTTATCACGCCCCACAACGCCCCTCTTGGTTCGGGGGATGGGTGCGGGGCAGCAAAGAAGCGGTGACCAGCAGGGCAGGCATACTCGAGGCCTAGAAAGACACACACTGACATTACCCTCACGTCGAAGCCGCTGCTGCCATTGGTGCCGCTAGTGATGCTGCTGCCGATGCTGCTGGTGCTGACCCCACTGGTGCTGACCCCACTGCTGCCACGGGTGACAGTGCTGCCGCCGCCACTGCCGCTGCTACCGCCAGTGGGAGGAGCGTGCGGCAGCAGGGAGCGACGTGTAAGGAGCTTCTTTTCCGCGTCCCCTCCCCGTGCCTGAACGCTGGCTTGAGGGGGCGTGGGCAGGAGTGGCGGCTGCTGCTGCTTGTGCTGCAAAGCAGGCGCCACTAGCCCTACTCCGACTCCTGCCCCTCTTCCACCAGGTGCTCCAGGCCCTAGAATACCCTTCTCATACCCACCCTTGTCAGCCCCATGTGCTGCAGCGGCTGCACCATGCCCTGCTGTCCCCCCATGCCCTGCTGTCCCCCCATGCCCTGCTGTCCCCCCATGCGGTGTAGCGCCATGCACAGAAGCAGCGAGGGGAGGGAACGCCATTTCTGTAGTGTTCACAGCTGCTGCCTGCCTCCCTGCTCCCGCTGCTATAGCTGCCACACGGGCGAAAGAGGTGGGCGGCTGCATCTCATGAGCACGTGCTCCTGCCATTGCTGCTACCGCTGCCCCTGTCCCTGCACCTGCACCTGCCCCTGCCCCCACCAAACCCGTCCCCCTTTCCGCTGCCCGTTCCTCCTCCTCCCCCTCTGATTCCTGTTGCACGCCCCACCCTCCCTGCCGCTGCTTCCCCCCCTGTTGCACGTCCTGCTTTTCCTGCCCCTGCTGCCACTCCCTTTCTGCAACTACCATCTTAGCCCCCTCTTCTAGTGCAGCAATAACGCCAGCATCCCCTACACTGTATCGAACCATGCAATAACGAGTCTCAGCCAGCGCCCCACTCCCTTCTCCCACCACCTTTTCCTTTTTCATTTCTTCTCCCCCCTTCCCCCCCCTCTTCCCTTTTTCCCCCCTCTTCTTTCCCTCCTCCCTCCCCCCCCTCACCCCCCTCTTCTCCCTCCCCTCCATCTCCTCTGCTGTTCTCTGATCTAAATCCCTGTTGCCTGCTTAACTCCTTCAATCCCTCTTCCTCCCGTCCTCCTCCTCCTCCCTTTCTAGCTGCCCATATCTCTCTTATAACCCTCTCCCTCCCAACCTCCTCCCTCATCTCCTCTTCTCCTCCATCTCCCACTCCTCCACCTCCTTTCGACCCTCCCTCCACATTCACCAACCCGCTTTCCTTCCCTGCCCCTCTGCTGCTGCCCGCACCCCGGCCTCCCTCATCCGCCACATAAATCGCCGGCAGCTGGACTGCCCAGGGCAGAAGAAAGTTTCGCCCGGGCAGAAACCCCCCCTGCTGGACCCCCTTGATTGGGTCGTACCAATTCCTACTGCCCAAAACAGTGACGTTCCAATCAGATTCCAGACCCTCACTCCCCCTCTGCGCCTTCCTCTGCATGTCCCTCTGCTCCTTCCTCTGCACGTCCCTCTGCTCCTTCCTCTGCACGCCCTCTCGCGATTGAGATTCTGTCTCGCCAGCTTTAGAGCCTTGCCTGTTCGCCTTTGCTTTTGCCCAGCTTGTTCGGTCAAGAGGAATGGACCAGAGCAGGTGGCAGCAGGGAAGCGATGGGCGGAGGAGGGAGGAGAGCGAGAGCAGGGAGAGGGGCGTAGGGAGGAAGGGATCACAGAGGAGGGCTTGGGTGCTGCCACAAACACACGCACACATCAGCACCGCCCCACTCTCATGCCTGCTCCCATGCACCTCCTCCCTCGCTGCCACCCCCCCCGCCTCTCATGCCCTAGCGGTAACCAGCACGGCAATCCCAAGGCAGATACCGCCTCACACTGCTGCCTCCCTCCTCCCACTCCTCCCACTCCCTTCCCCACCCAGTGCTCATAACACTGCCGCTTCAGCACTTCGAAGCACTCCTCCCGGGCAGGTCCTCGGGCGGCCTCCGCAAAAACTTTCACAGCTGCCCGGATGTGCGCGTGGTGCACTCGGGCAGTGTAGAGCTGCCCGAGGCCCCTATGGTACGTGTGGAGGGCGCGGGTGAGGGCTGTACGGCAGAGAAAGGAGGAGAAGAGAGCGGCAGGTGAGCTGGATGAATCTGATTGGCCGCTGTGCATGCGCATGTGCAGGAGGGGAGGTTGGGATGGCGTTTCCAGTGCTGCTGCTGTTGATGATGATGATTGGAGTAATGGAGTTGCTGCTACACCCTCCCTAGATTGTCCTCGTCCTCCTCCTCTTCCTCCTCCTCTTCCTCCTCCTCTTCCTCCTCTTCCTCCTCTTCCTCGCACATCCCTCTTCCTACTGCCACCACCACCTCTGCCACCATAACCAAACGCGGTCAGCACCGCACCAAACTCCTTCGCATCCCCTTCAACCCCTCCGTCCACCCCCCCCACCCATTTCTGACCCAAAACCTGATCCGTTCTCCCTCCCCATTCACACACCACACGAGCTACCCTCTCACAACCTGCCTGCCACGTGTCAAAATCTGGTAGCTCCCACGGAAGCCCCCCTCCCCCCGTTCCCTCTGCAGACCCCCCCACGCCTCCCCCCATGCGCCCCCTTGCCTTCCCTCCCCCCATTCCCCCTCTGGTCAGCCCTAGCGCACCCGCCCACCCCCCTCTCCCCCTCATGCCCCCTCTCCCCACGGCTGCCCCTGGTCCTACAGCTGCCCCTACCCCTGCCCCTGCCCCTGCCCCTGCTCCTGCTCCTGCTCCTGCTCCTGCCCCTGCTCCTGCTCCTGCTTCCGCATCCGTCCCTTCACTTACACCTCCTCCTTCTCCTCCTCCCATTGCTGCACCCGAACCAGCTGCCGTGCCTGCGGCTGGAACAAGGGGCGATAAGGCTGTACCGCCGCCGTCCCTGCCGCCGCTACCCCCCCCCTCTGCTCCCACCACTGGCAGAACCACCACCTCTCCCTGGGAGGGGCAGAGCGGCCTTCCACCGAGCCTCCATGGCCTCCCTCTGCCCCACTATGAAGTCCCAGATCGACCCTGCAGCTGACTCTGCTAGCTCTGGTGACGAGATGGGTGTTGATGCGAGAGTGGAGGGTGCGGTGGAGAGCAGTGCAGGCGGGTTGAGCAGCGTGGGGGAGAAAGGTGCAAGGGATGAGAAGGACGGGGAGAGGAGGGAGAAGGAGAGAGGAAGGCCCTGCTGCTGTGATGCCACTCTCGCAGTCAGACCGCCATCCAGACTGCCGCCCAGACTGCCGCCCAGACTGCCGCCCAGACTGCCGCCCAGACTGCCGCTCAGAATGCCGCCCAGTTGATTGGCCATGAGGGCGTCAGCGGCAGCGGAGAGGCCGCGTTGGTTGGAGAGAGCAGAGTGGTGGATGACGAGAGCACAGCGCGAGGGGTCCAGGACGAACAGAGGGCACGCTGCTGCTGCCACTGCTGCTGCTACTGATGCATCTGCTGTTGATGCTGCAACTGTTGCTGCAGTTGCTGAGTCTGCTGCTGCTCCTTCCACAACTTTCATCTGCCCAAGTGCTCCGCTCTTCATCATGGCCGTCCATTGCCTCAGCCAACGGGGGCCTGCCACGTGGACGTCCACAGCAGAGGCCACCGGGCGGCAGCGCTTGAGCAGAGATCTGATCTGCGATTCCAAGGCGGATTGCATGCGGCGACGGATGACCAATGGCGACAAGACAGCTGGACTCGCGTCACTGGCCGCACCAAGAGCAGCATTAGCACCACCAGCGCCACTAGCAACACCTGCAGCAGCTCCGGCAGGCCCGGCCAAAGCAGAAGCACTAGTGGCCGATCCTCCTCCTCCTGCTGCTGCTGCTGCTGCAGCCACCTCCCTGGCCCCAGCCCCCCCATCCTTGCCTCCTTCCTCGCCTTTCCCTCCTCCTCCTGCGCTGTGGGTCAGGGCGAGAGCAGCCTGAGCGGAGGCGAAGGGGACGGGGAAGGCGAAGAGCAGGCAGGGCGTGGTGAACCCGGGCAGCAGCTGCAGCCTGCACGGCTGCTCCTGGCCTGGGGGTGATGCTCACTGTTAACGCTGCTGCTGCTGCTGTTGCTGCTGCTGCTGCAAGTGGTGCTAGTGGCGGTGGTAGTGGTGCTGCAGCTTGTGGTGGGAGCAGCATGAGGGGAAGGTTGGCGCAGGAGCATGTCTGGGGGGAGGGCTGGCAGCAGCGTCGCATCCAGCACAGGGGGGGCCGGCTCTTGCCCCGGCTTATTCTCGCAGTGCTCTGGCGTCGGCTGCTTTGGCAGTGTCTCGCTCGGTCGGTGGGGCAGCAGCAGGCGCGGCAGCAGGGCGAGCTTGGCGCGCTGCAGGGTGCGGAAGGAGTGCAGCAGGTGCGGGTGGAAGAGGGGCGACGGGCTCACACACACCACCACGTGGCACGCTGTGAATAAGAGCAGCCACGCCCTCTGCACCGCTGCCTCCATGTCACCCTCCTCCTCCTCTTCCTCTTCCTCCTCCTCCTCCTCCTCCTCCTCCTCCTCCTCCTCCTCCTCCTCCTCCTCCTCCTCCTCCTCCTCCTCCTCCTCCTCCTCCTCCTCCTCCTCTCCTCTTCTTCCTCCTCCTCCTCATCCTCTTCCGCTTCCTCCTCTACTAATTCTACTTCTTCCTTCTCTTCGTCCTCCTCCTCTTCTTCTTCTGCCTCCCTTTTTTCCTCCTCCTCCTCCTCCCTCTCCTTTTCTCTCTCTTCTTCCTCTGCTACTTCCTCCTCCCTCCTTTCCTCCGCCTCCTCCTGCCCTGTCCCATTCTCTCTGCCTACCATTTCAATACGCCCCTCCCCTTCAGCCCTTTCCGCCCTTTCCTTGTCTCCCGCCCCGCCCCCCACCTCTTTCCCAGCGCCCACCTCTTTCCCAACGCCCCCCGCCTCGTCCCCAGCACCCACGCCACACCGTGCTCCCTCGTCCGCGGACCTTACCACTACATCCCCAACCTCCTCTCCGCCCACACTTCTCTTGCCTTTCCCCTTACCACCACTCCTTCCTCTCCCCCTCGTTTTAGTCCCTCTTTTAGCAGCAGCCTTAGCAGCGCTTTTAGTCACACTTTTACCAGCACTCCTAGCCGCTCGTTCACTCACACTCGTGCACAGCTTCACCAGCACCAGGTTCTGCTGCCGGTCATAAAACTGCTCCAGCATGCCACGTGGCAGCCCCAGGCGACGCCACGTGGCAGCACCAAAAACAACCTCCTTGCCCTCACCACCACCACAACCACCACCACCAGCCACATACCCGCTATAAGCCTCTCCAGGATCATCAGAAGCAGACTCGGTAGAGGGAGAGGAGAAGGCAGGGTACTGCAGCAGGTGGTTGAGCAGTGCTGTGAGGTGTGACTCATTCGGTCCAAAAAACCCCACCACCAGCACCCCCTTGCGCTCGTCGCTCGCACTGCCACTGCCGCTGCCGCTACCGGTACGGCTGGTGCTGGTGGTGCTGCGGGTGCGATGGAGCCACACACGGGTATAAGGAAGGTATACGGAAAAAGGGGGGGCCACGAGGCGATGTGAGACTACTCGGATAGAGCGAGAGCAAGAGAGCGAGGGAAAACTGATGGGATGGACAAGACATCTTCTCGCCTACCCAGGATCTGACGTGGCGGCAGTCGATCGGCCGTGATCCACTCTGTGCTGGCCACGTGTCACTCCGGCAGATCCAGGAGTGCCATATGGCGCGCCGCTGGCGGAAGTAACTTCCGAAAATTTGGCGGACGCCACCTCGCTGCGCGCCGATGCCCCGCTCTGCTCCGCTACCCGCGGAAAACGTCCTCCGCCGCTTACCCTCCCTGCGCCGCCTTCAGTGGCGGAACCCTGATGTCCCCCCCCACCGGACCTCGGATAACCGCCACTTCCGCTTCGGCTCCCGCCCGCTTCGGATCTGGCAGAGCTGATATCCGCTGTTGTTTGTTGATAAGCTTGTTGGCCTGACGGCCGTTGACACTGGTGCCTTGGCTGCTGCTGCGGCACCAGCGGGTGCCGAGAGCCACGCCCTGGACCGCCGCTGTCCGCGCTGTCTCTACCCCCGCCGCTGGCACGAGAATCGTCGGCTCCTCCCCCGCCTCTTCCATACCCAACCATGCGACTTGCCATCGGCCGACAATCGTTGCATGATTGGGAATCATTACCTACAAGAAAAAAAAAAAGTTAAATTAATACACAAGCGAAACAAAATCGATGTCAGTAGTCCAACGGTTAGGATATTTGCCTTCCAAGCAAAAGATCCGGGTTCGATTCCCGGCTGACGTTATTAGACATATGTCTTTAAACATCGTTGGTCCTTTCCTTCCAGTATGTCTGCAAACCTCGTTGGTTATTTCCTTCCGGGCCGGACGACCATTGCAAATTTGGGTATAATTCATGTTTTTTTGTCGAACATTCACATTTGATTGAGCATTGGTCGACCATCTAGAGATTTGGTGGTCGAGGAGCAGCGTCAACAAGCCCGATTCACGCATGGAACAACAAAAGTTCGACTACCATAGTTCAACTTTAAACAGTAAATCCCGAGTCACGCTAAACTTTCGAAGGTTACTGGTTTCGCAGTGCTCTCGTGACCGAATCTAGCTTTGGTAACACTGTACGCTGTACCTCGTTACCGTCACAAAACTCGCAAATGTCCGTGCGTGGGCAAAGGAACACACGATTGGATTAACGTAAACAAAAAATCCGAATGCAAGGTCGACTTTAGTTCGTGTCCAACTTCTTTCCCATAGATTGAACTAGGACACACGATGTTTCAGTGATTACGCTAACGAAATTTGCGAAAAAGGTTACCAGCAAAAGTTCAACCTATATTTCCAAACGTCTACAGCAAAAGACACGCGCCCTTACTTTTTTATGACATCAGGCTTTGCAATCCCTTTTTCCTCGAGATGCACAACAACGCGACCAGTACTGGTGGTGCTCCAAGATTGGCCGTCTATATGTAGTAGCACATTTCACAACAGGAACATAGGGCGCATAACCATTTTGTTGTGACGGTTCGTTTTTCGGACAGTCCGTTCTAAACGCTATGTGATTGGTTGTAACTGCCCTTGCGAGAATCATTACAATGTTATTGTTATGAGTTGTACTAAACAGAGTGCGCGAAAGACTTCTATAAAGAGAACGTGATTACAGAATGACGAGATAATGAAAAGAACGAGCAAATATAGGGCGAATACGTGCTAGGCGAGAACCGCGTGACGTGCGTGGTTCGGAAATGTCGCGATTGGTGATGGGCGACTCGGAATTGGTTCGGTGCGAAAGTGTAGGCCGAGCCACACTGACGCGAAGTGCTCGGGCTGTCCTCGCTAGGAGCAGCCTCTACAGTAATGAATTGTGAATTCATTACACTCTCCCACCTTCTAAATAAGGTGCCCTTATACGTAGCCGAGTCTTGGAGTAGCGTGAAAGCTGCAGATCTTCTGTTGAAACTGATGTGACGGTTTGGAAGCGTTGACTTTTGAGCTGACGCGTGGCTGAGCGCGTTGACCAGGCGAAATGCAGAGTTGGAATGTCAGTCGTTAATACTGCAGATGTCGATCGGGCGGTGACGATTTGAACGATGTTGGCGGTTGTTACTAACGCGATGTTTGACATGGGCGAACAGGGATCGTCGATGGCGATGAAGATGTCAGAGTCTGACGAGGCTGTCAGAACTGTCAAATTATAAATGTGATATATATGTGTAGGCTGTAGTGGGGTAGCCAATATGGGGTACAACCCCTCTAGGGTTTGATACTTGTACCCAACTCTCATTTCAATGCATCATTCTTGCCAGCTAGATTCTGACATGGTTTCAGAGCAGTAGGTCCGTTAGGACCGGATTTTTTTTTTCTTAGGCCCACCGAACGCCTGCCCGCCTGCGGTTACCGCGCTGCCCCACACGCGCCCTGCCTTGCCTGCCTGTCGCACCGCCCCTAAGACCCGCGCCTGCCTTGCCTGCCCGTCGCGTCGCCCTAAGCCCGCGCCTGCCCCGTGCCTGCCCGTCGCGTCGCCCCAAGCCCGCGCTTGGCCCCCTGCCTGCCCGTCGCGTTGCCCCAAGCCCGCGCCTAGCCCCGTGCCTGCCCGTCGCATCGCACTAAGCCCGCGCCCGGCCCCCTGCCTGCCCGTCGCGTTGCCCCAAGCCCGCGCCTGGCCCCCTGCCTGCCCGTCGCGTTGCCCCAAGCCCGCGCCCGGCCCCGCTCGCTTGCCCGTCGCGTAGCCCTAAAGCCCGCGCCCGTCCATCTGCCTGCTCGTCGCGTCGCCCTAAAGCCCGCGCCCGGCCGCCTGCCTGCCCGTCGCGTCGCCCTTCGCCCGCGCCCAGCCACCTGCCTGCCCGTCGCGTCGCCCATAAGCCCGC